ATCATCTTGCACTTAATTCCTTGTGTCTCCACTTTAAAAGCACAAAGATTCCAGATAGTCTACCCCATACCTGGAGAACTGTTCTTTTCTCAAACTCTAGCCCCCCAAAAGTCTGTTTACAACTACCGCTAATGTTTACTGTGTACTTACTTGGGGTCAGATCCTTTTCTAGGAGACCATTAAGTATCTTTGCTTTAATTAACCTAACAAGCCTGAAAGTTGTATTACCATTTTCATATCTGAGTAAATTGTGGCTTATGGGGTTTGACCAAGACGCCTGCAGCTAGTGAGTGAAATAATCTGAGTGTGAACCTAAGTCTTTGATTACTAAACTGTGGAAGGTGTGTGCTGAGTTCTCACTTTGCCAATGACTATTTCATCTTGAGTATGTTTCTTACATGCCTTGCCCTTATCTTAAAAGAAAATCATTAGAGTAGTTGCATTCCAAAATATCCTATGTAAGAAATCTGTGATCCTACTCAGCTGCTATTTGACTTCCAATCTTTTTCAGTAAGAACGATGATTTTGAAATTGTAAAGAGTACAGAACTAGATGAATGAAACTGGAACCCATTATACAGAGTTAAGTAAGCCAGAAAGATAAAGACCAATACAGTATACTAACACATATATATGGAATTTAAAAAGATGGTAACTATAACCCTATATGCAAAACAGAAAGAGACACAGATGTACAGAACAGACTTTTGGACTCTGTGGGAGAAGGTGAGGGGGGGATGTTCTGAGAGAATAGCACTGAAACAAGTATACTGTCAAGGGTGAAACAGATCACCAGCCCAGGTTGGATGCATGAGACAAGTGCTCAGGGTTGGTGCACTGGGAAGACCCAGAGGGATGGGATGGAGAGGGATGTGGGAGGGGGGATCGGGATGGGGAACACATGTAAATCCATGGCTGATTCATGTCAATGTATGGCAAAAACCACTACAATATTGTAAAGTAATTAGCCTCCAACTAATAAAAATAATTGGGGAAGAAAAAGAGTACAGAACTGCATCAGTGTCCTGAGAAGTGTAGTTCACTGTGTAGCCCAGTGATGACTGTTAAAAATTAATGGTGCTGCATGGAGCTGGCAAGTATCTCAAAAGACCCCAGTGTTGACTAAATGTTGAAAAATCATACAGAATTTAAAAGGGGGTTGAGGACAGAAGCAAAACAACCTGTGTCCAAATTTTAAATAAAGCAAGAGGTTGTGGAAGCCAAACAAATGCTCTGGCTATTGGTCACCAACAAAACATACAGTTAAATAGATGTTTGTGAACTTTAAGGAAAGTAAATGATTTTAGTAGGTCCAGTGCGAGTTCATGAAGGACAAATAATAAAAACTTAACTTTTAAGAGTTCACATATTAAGGGTATGTTGTTGACAAATTTTGCCTTGATTTTACCAAGGCCTTTGACCAAAAATTCTGTGAAGACAGTTGTGTGTTGATTAGATCAGTGGTTTCCTTCCTTGGTGGTTTAGGTGGTAAAGAATCTGCCTGCAATGCGGGAGACCTGGGTTCAATCCCTGGGCTGAGAAGATCCCCTGGAGAAGGGAATGGCAACCCACTCCAGTATTCTGGCCTGGAGAATTCCGTGGACAGGGGAGCCTGGCAGGAAACAGTCCATGGGGTGGCAGAGTTGGACAGGGACACCACTGAGCCACTTTCACTTTCCTTTTCATCTTCTCTCCCTTCCCCAACCCTCCCCACCCCTTGCCATATTCTCACCTTCACTCCATACCTACTGGGAGGGAGTTGCTGAGGAAAGAGCCCAGGAAAAACGGTATGTTAAAAAGCTCATCCAGGTCTACTGCAGCCGCTTCATAGACTGGGATTTGAGACAAACTAACAAGTTTTTAAACTTTTGTGGAGGCAGAGACTCCTTTCATCAAATGAAATGAAACTATCATATAAAACAGAGTGACGTTTACTAGTACTTTAACTTTTTTTGGAGTTTACATTTATAATGTTTACTGAAAAGTCACTAAGAACGGTGACCCCCTTAAGATACAATGAAAAACTTTAAATGAGGTTGATGATAACTATAATGGGTATATTCACATTATCAGCCGTGTTTAATAAAGTTGTATACTTTGCTTTAAATGCGTAATATTTTTAAGAAATCTGTCCATATAGATATTACTTCCAAATTGTAACAAGGGTTTTTTGCTTTGGTTTTGTTTTTAAATAACTTGCCTTGGGATCCCACCATGTTTTTTGGTTCAGTCAGTCTAAGGTAGGGAATATTTGTTTCAAAACTGTAACCCTGTAACTAAACTTATGGAAACAATTGCTCACATTCCTTGTCATAAATCTAAAGTCATACAGGAAGCATCTAATTCTTAGAATAAATATTTACCCTCTCTCAATTAGGGTATTATCACAAAGGACTTTCTCCTGTGATGAAAGCAAGGCGGTCCAGATGCCCCCGCTCCTCACCCGCGGTCAGTGGCAGCCGCCGCTGGGGTGCGGTCTGTGTTCATGCACTTGCTTGAGCAACCTCTTGAGAGCTCACTGTGCACACGGGATTTTTCACATGATCAGGGTGGAGCTACAGCTTCCCTTTCCGGTGTCACAGTTACAGGACGTCCACGTGTGCACACGGTGGTGCCGGGGAGCCCGCTATGGGGACCGCCTGGATGTTCACACAGGGTCTTTGGCACATGACCCTGTGTATACGTGGTGGGTGAAAAGTTTGCATATCAACCATTGCAGTGTCATTTTTTAAAAAAAATTATAGCTTCCAAATTATATTTGAATATTAGAAACAGATGGTGGTGTATCCTTGGAGCACTTCATAGGAATCTCTTCAAAAACATTAGTTTGTATTGACTGGGAGCTGATTTATGTTAGCAAAAATGGTTCTCTGGAATACAGAGATAGTTGGAGACAGCCAGGTAATGCAGATGAGAAAAAAATTATCATTCAGAAAGTGTGTTTATGTGCACAAAGAAAGAGCAAAGTAACTTTGAGTACAAAGTGGGTAGTGAACTCTTCTGGCCAGGAAACCAGGGGAGGGTCTCTGGGAGAGAAGACATTTGTGGAGGACACACAGGACTTGTGTAAGAGAGTGTTAGGGAGAAGGAAAGTCATGTTGCTATCCCTGCTTTCTTAGATTACCTTCTTCATTAACAAATTAACTCTATATACATTTAAAAATAGGTTCCATTCTTAATAAATTCAAGGTTTGGATCCTTTTCGTACTTAAATATGCCTGAAGTTTCTTTCCAAGTCATTACTGTGAGACAGGGATTTTCTTGTTCTGTAGATCTTTTCCGGCTTCCTAGGTGGCTCAGTGGTAAAGAATCCACCTGTCAGTTCAGGAGATACAAGAAACGCAGGTTCGATCCCTGGGTCAGAAGGATTCCCTGGAGGAGGAAATGGCCACTCACTCCAGTATTCTTGCCTGGAGAATCCCCATGGACAGAGGAGCCTGGCGGGCTGCAGTCTATGGGGTCGCAGATTGGGACATGACTTAGCAACCAAGTGTGTGTGTGCACACACACACACAGACACCCACCCACCCTTTTCCAGGGATACTTTTGCCCAACTTGGCTGCCACTTGAAGATCTGCCTGCTTCATAAATGTGCGCTAAGCCTGATCTCTGCAAGAGTTATGGCCATTCAGCCATTCACTTGTTCACCCACACTGGTATACTGAGCACCTGTTTATGTGCCAAGTCTTAGAGAGTCCTAGACACTCTGCAGAGAACAAGTCCGCACTGGACAGGTGAACCTGATTCCTGGAAACCGCCTGAAGTTCTTATCATTAAACTTACCATTGAAAAGATAACAATGCAACTTTCACTACAAACTGATAACAGCATAGAGAGCACACCTCCCAGAACTCTTACATGTTAACAGGGATCAAAGCTTTACTTCCAGCTGCTTCTAATCAGGCAGCCTGGGAGGGGAATTGTGGTTTGAGACTTGGGACTTTTCCAGTTTATATGGCTTTTTGAGCAGCAGGGTTAAAGGTGGGGACTGGCTCTGATAATATTTCTCCCAGGAAACTAGCTTTTTTTTTTTTTTTTGTAGTCTTTTTTCTCACTAACACTTTATTATTTTTTTTTCATTTATTTTTATTAGTTGGAGGCTAATTACTTTACAATGTTGTAGTGGTTTTTGTCATACATTGACATGAATCAGCCATGGATTTACATGTATTCCCCATCCCGATCCCCCCTCCCACCTCCCTCTCCACCTGATCCCTCTGGGTCTTCCCAGTGCACCAACCCTGAACACTTGTCTCATGCATCCAACCTGGGCTGGTGATCTGTTTCACCATAGATAATATACATGTTTCGATGCTGTTCTCTCGAAACATCCCACCCTTGCCTTCTCCCACAGAGTCCAAAAGTCTGTTCTGTACATCTGTGTCTCTTTTTCTGTTTTGCATATAGGGTTATCATTACCATCTTTCTAAATTCTATATATATGTGTTAGTCTACTGTAATGGTCTTTATCTTTCTGGCTTACTTCACTCTGTATATGGGCTCCAGTTTCATCCATCTCATTAGAACTGATTCAAATGAATTCTTTTTAATGGCTGAGTAATATTCCATGGTGTATATGTACCACAGCTTCCTTATCCATTCGTCTGCTGATGGGCATCTAGGTTGCTTCCATGTCCTGGCTATTATAAACAGTGCTGCAATGAACATTGGGGTGCACGTGTCTCTTTCAGATCTGGTTTCCTCGGTGTGTATGCCCAGAAGTGGGATTGCTGGGTCATATGGCAGTTCTATTTCCAGTTTTTTAAGGAATCTCCACACTGTTCTCCATCGCGGCTGTACTAGTTTGCATTCCCACCCACAGTGTAAGAGGGTTCCCTTTTCTCCACACCCTCTCCAGCATTTATTGCTTGTAGACATTTTGGATAGCAGCCATCCTGACTGGCGTGTAATGGAAAGTAGCTTTAAGAAGCCCCTACTGCAGAGGAAAAATCAGCTAGATATCCCATAATGGAAAAGAGCTCTTGCTAGCTATAATTTTACCTTTTCTTCGAGGGGCCAGAGAGCCAAGCTCAGAGAGGCAGTATCGCCTGGGGGAGGTGCACAGGGCGCCCTGCTCTTGGTCATTGGGCAGGTCACTTACCCTCTCGAGGGCATCTATAAACAGGTATGATAATGGTAATAGTACCCCCCCTCAAAGAACTGTTGAGGGTCAGAGAAGTTAATATATACAGAGTGTTTAGAATTGTGCCTGCCATCGAGTAAGCATTATGTTAACGTTCGCTATTATTTCTTTTAGCTCTGCGTTTTTGCAGAGTGTTGATTTTCTGAGAACATGTAAGGCGACATACAGGAAGAGTGGTCAGAAGATAGTTCAAGTGAGGATGGTCACTTCCTTCTTTCCCCTCCTCACGCTCCCCACCCTCCTACCCCACAGACCCTGGAGCTGTTTTGTGAGGCAGTAATGTCATATTTGAGTGTGTGACCTTGAAAACTTCTGATTAAGTAGTTCTGGGCAAAGCTCTGCTGGTTGGAAAATAAATCAGGCCTCCCACACATACCTGCTCAGCCAAGAATCTGTTTGCCCCAGGAGCCATGGGTAGGCGGGAATGGGAGCAGGCACACACCCAGGCTTATGTGAACTCTGCTCTGGCTTTGGACCGTGGTGTCACCCTTCTCCCTCTGCTCACCAGTGATTTCTGGTCATTGCTTTCCATTCTCAATTCTAGAGAAAGAAATATTTTTATTTTTAAAAATTGCTTTGCTTCCTCTCTCCTTTCCGTGACTCCGGGGAACTTCACTCCCCCTTCCTGCTTGTCTGTTTCTCTGAAGTTTGGCTCTTTACTGCCCTTTGGTACTGCACTAATACAGATTTCTCCCAAGCCCAGGCAGTCACCACGCAGGTAAGATGATGGACCGTAGGGCTTCCTGCACGGCTCCTGAGTTTCAGGGTCTGGGGCAAGGCCCTGGAAAAGTCCCAGAATTTTCTGTTGGTTCTTGTAACCAGGAAGAGAGGCTTCCTGCCTTTGCACTGGGGCGTTATCATAGGTTCTGCTGGCCGTCTCCTATCTCATGGAGAAGTCCTCTGCACTTCCCTCTATAAAAAGGAAAGGGGACAGCAGTTCATATGCAAATACCACACCACCCACTGCGAGGAGGCCAGGCCTCTGGGTCACAGGCTGGTCAGTTGCCCCGCAGCCGCTGCAGTTGGCTGGGTAGACACCCACAGAGCCCAGACCTGTCCTCTTGCCACCCAGGGCTGCTGCACAGGGAAGAAGATGGGGGTAAAGGAGGCAGGCTGTGAGGGGGGAGCGGATGTCAGGCTGATGCATGGTTTCAGGTGTGGGTTCACCTATGTCGTCTGTTCTTTGGGAAAGGTGCTAATGTGGTTTACAGAAACTCCTCCCAAAGAGAAATTATGGTCATTAGCAATGGTTCTGTAGTTCCCAGATGTATTCATCTGCCTGTCACTCCCCTGAGACGCCGTTTCATGCTGACCACAGAGCACAGAATTGTCTTGTTTTGATAATTCGTCAGTAGCAGGGTAAAGAGCAGATTAACTTGGGTGTAGATTCTTTACTGAGAACTAATGGTAAAGGCTCGCATGAATTAGGAAAAGTTGGAAGAGAGAGTTCTCTTTCTGGTAAGCAGAGTTCTGCCATAAAGGCTTACAAAGTCTTTTGCAGTAGTGGTCCTGTACTTGCTTTTGTGATGTACTTATTCCACACTTGAGGAAAATGACATGGGCACGTTTTCTGCAGGCTTCCCAGTAACCATGAAAGGTTGTTGTTTTTTTTTAATATGCAAACTTTAGGGGAATTATTTGTATTATTAAATAGCATATGTAAATATATGTACTTAGATACATTCAGTTCAGTCCAGTTCAGTCGCTCCGTCATGTCTGGGTCTTTGCAACCCCATGAATCGCAAAGCAAATACTGGGACTGTTGCTAAAACAGCTGCTGCTGCTAAGTCACTTCAGTCGTGTCCGACTCTGTGCGACCCCATAGATGGCAGCCCACCAGGCTCTGCCATCCCTGGGATTCTCCAGACAAGAACACTGGAGTGGGTTGCGCTTCCTTCTCCAATGCATGAAAGTGAAAAGTGAAAGTGAAGTCCCTCAGTCGTGTCCGACTCTTTGTGATCCCATGGACTGCAGCCCAACCAGGCTTCTCTGTCCATGGGATTTCCCAGGCAAGAGTACTGGAGTGGGGTGCCAATGCCTTCCCCGGCTAAAACAGCTACTAACAATAATTAGGTCAAAACATACCTAAAGGGACTTCCCTGGCAGTCCAGTGATTAAGACTTCATCTTCCAGTGCAAGGAGGGCAGGTTCAATCCTTGGTCAAGGAGCCCTCACAGCCAAAAAACCAAAACATAAAACTGAAGTGATAACGTAACAAATTCAATAAGGACTTAAAAAAAAATACCTAAAATGGTAAACCTTAATGAATGCACAGTAATTTGTGTGTTTCTCTGTTGAAAAGCTTCATTCAAACTAATTGTCTCCCAATGTCAGAATTCCTTCTGCAGTATATGTAAGATGTGATCATCGAGGCATCGTCTTCTCTCTCTTCACTTTCTTGCTCTCCTCTCCTTTCCTTCACCTCTCCACTGATGCCTGCTGTGTCCAGGTCACCTCAGCAGGCACTGCAGATAACAGATGAGTACCCATAGTCCTGCCCTCAAAGCCTTCCCAGTCTGAAGTACATACAGTGGGGGTGAGGACAGGGAAGAGATGTGTGAAGTTACCTGGATGAGGAGCAGGCTCTCCCACCTGTTGGGAGAAAGAGAGACAGCATAAGATTCACAGAGGAGCTTATGTGGAAGCGGAGATTTCAAGTCTGAAGGGCAGGCGAGAAATGAAAAAGCATCCCGGGTCCAGTACAAAACCACATTTGGGCTGCGGTGTGAGGCTGGTGCGGCTGCGGTGTTTGATCCCCGGGAGGAGCGGGGGGCAGGGCAGCATGAGGCTGTCTCAGAAGTGATGGGAGCTCACTGTGTGTCAGAGAGAATAAAAGTTCTGTGTCTGAGAAGTGTATTTTGCCAGAAAGTGTTTCCTCCTTTTGTGCCCAGTCTGTCTGTCTTTTCCATTTTACCTTTGGGTCCAAGCTGCAGGAGCAGCACAGAATGAGCCTGCCCACTCTCTGCCATCTGCCTTGATGTGTGAGGGGTGTTTTGCTTCTTTAAATCTTGTCCCAGGCTGTGTGTACCTTTGTTTGTCCTTCTTAATAGGTTTTGGTTAGTAATTTGTTTCCTTACTAGAACCCAGTGGTAATTCCTGTTGGTCCTTTCAGGGTTTTACAGACAATATGTTGTGCTCTCCTGGACTGATCTCACAGACCTCCAAAGAGGTGCTGCCCACCGTACCCTCTTGTCTGTCGGCCTCCTTTCTGCCAGGTTCCTCCCAGCGGCTTCACAGGATCCCAGAGGGCGGGAAGCATCCGTGGTGGAGTCCAGCATCTTCCCTGCTCTTCTTCCCTACCATACCATCTCCTTTTGGTCAGCTTAGGGCTTTACAGAGATAGAAAGTCTGTTTTTGTCTCAAATACACTACTGGGAATCCTTGCCCTGGAGGAAGAGTATCTTTACAGTCTTACAACTATTATCTTACACTTTAGACACAAACTAAGAAATATATACCTATAAAATGTTAATACAGTTAATTAGGATTGAACTTAAGTAGTTCAGAAGTTAAGGGTTGAGACAGACGTGTGAAAGCTCAGGTTATATTTTCACAGAAAGTATCTGCAATTAGAAAATACCAGTTATGTTCTAAATGAGAGTTTTGGCCATGTATGTAATAGGAGACCCCTCTGTCTGAAAGTGCAGGAGCCACCCAAACGGTGGGTCCTCGAGAGAGATTCTCAAAGCCTGTTTGTCAATGGAAGCCAGTAATGTCAATGTCAGTACCTGTAACGAGTCATTAATCATCCATTCTCACCCCTCGATAAAAATTCTGTACTTTCCAAGCAAGCACCGTGGTTTTCCGTGGATTAGCCTCTTTACAAAGAAAGGATGAGATGGGAAAGTTCAATAATTTTGTTTTTTTCACACCATAACCTAGTGCTAAAGCTGGGAGCTTGCCTATAGCCATGGTCTTTGTGGAGGACCTCCACAAAGACACCTCCATGTGGAGAGAGGATGACTGAAGAAAAATAATAATAAAAAGAGAACCTTATGTGGTCACTGAAGTAGAAGTCTCAGATCCAATCAGCTAGCTAAGGATGCCCCAGAAAACACTGTTTGCTTATTGCTGAGATTTAATTATCCTACACCATGGAAGGCAAAGTCTTAATTTTTAATATGAGTAATAAAACAATTAGTCTTCAGTGAAGTGGTTTCAGTCTCTATCAGTGGTACTTACAAAGGGTATATAGTAGGGAGAAGGGCAGAAGTGTGTTAGTTGCTCAGTCATTTCCGACTCTTTGCAACCCCATGGACTCAGCCATCAGACTCCTCTGTCTGTGGGATTCTCCGGGTAAGAATACTGGAGTGGGTTGCCATTTCCTTCTCCAGGAGACCTTCCCGACCCAGGGATCAAACCCATGGCTCCTGCATTGTGGGCAGATTCTTTACTGTCTGAGCCACCAGAGAGGGGCAGGAGGGAGAATAATAAACACCCTCCCACTGTGTACGCCGGGGTGGTCCACAGACCAGTGGCATCAGCATCTCCAGAAAGCCGCCTAGAAATGCGGAGTCTCAGGCCTCAGCCCAGCACTTCTGAATTGGAATCTTCATTTTAACAGACCCCCTGGCAACTCCTGTGCACGTTGAAATTTGAAAAAGGGTTCTAGTGGGTGAAGACAGAATCTCATTCACCGTAAGCAATTTACCTGTCTTAGCCCACTTCGAGGAAAGCTGAACAAAGAAGGCATATCCCCCAAAAGTATTAAACACTGAGAATCAAAGTTTAGTTTTGTTTGTCACCATTGACTAAACAGCAGTGTCCTATCCAGGGGAGGAAGGGACTCTGTTTACTGCGCAAATGACGTGGCCCATGGCTTAGATAGCAAGTGAAGAGCTGCTTCCCTGCTCTAGAGTGGGACCGTTTCCATGATGACAGTTATGTGCTATGATCTCCCCCTACCTCTCTCCCTACCCCAATAACCCCAGACCAGAAAATAAAAAGGATACTTTACTTTTTTTTTTGTTTT